ATTTAAGATCTCAACGTTATTTAAATACGTTAACAATCCGCGTGATTCTCTCGCAACTGACTTTCAGAAAAATATTTTGCCAACTCGGTTGTTATATCTTTACCACATAAGTTTCCTCAATTTTAAATTTCACTTTCATTGTAAATCCCTACCGAATGTTTTTTTTAAGTCTGTACATGTCCTGAACATTTTAAGTTTCCAACAGCCATTATCGCTAGTCTATTGCACAGCTTTCGCATTCATCCATGCTGGAAAATTAAATAAAAATATTTTATAATATAATTCAATTTTTCTTGGATGGTTTTGTAATGAGGTTAAAGCTTCAATTCCTAAAATTCAGAATAATTTTTGAAATTTTAAACAACAACTGTATGTTGATGTGTAGATATAACAAAGAATAATTTATTTTATTTGCTTAATATTTTCTACAAACACTTCAGAGTTTTCAATTCCAGAGCCGGTTCTGCGATCGAAATTGATCCTTTTTACGCACGCACCTGTCCTATCGGCTATCTAAAACACTGTTTGGATCGATACATAAGTAGAAGAAGTTTTCACATACAGATGTAATAAAATTATATTATTGTAAATAGTGACTTCGTCCAACGTAGTTGTGAAGCAGTTTTCAATTCCTTAATCAGGCAAGAGTTGTCTCTCGGTGATCTAGTTCGGTTAAAAACGGTAAGTAAGTAAGGCTAATAATAATATATATTTTGAGCTTATTCTGCATATTTTTGCGGATGTATACGGATATAAGCAGGAGGAAAATCAAAAAGACTTTTATGTTATTAGGCTGAAGGAGGTTCTGGACAAACTTCATTTACTTTGTAACAAACTAAAATAAGTTACAGAAAATATATATTGTGAAAGTATTGTATTATTCTGTTGAGCTATCTTGAATTGGGTATGCCACGCTTCTATAATTTTTAACCATTAATAAAATTAAATAACAACAAATTTAGCTATTATCAATTTACCATAACGCAAACTGTGGAAAATGCTCAATGTATATTGTGATTTTCTCTCTTACAGTCTAGTTTAGTTATAGTCGATTATATTGTCGTGGTAACTGCCAGTTTGATCTTAATTTAAAAGTTTAAACATGTTTTTCTCGAAACTCCTTTTTCAATGGCCGACACGATATCTCAAATTCTAATCAGTCGATTTCAAATTTAGATGACTATTCCTCTAAATATCTGTATCGTATAAGACTCAAAAACTTTTCTCTAAACTCTAATAGAAAAGACTAGGACATGTCATAAATAAATAATAGTTTAACGACTTTATTTACCGGAGGTTAGAACACAAGTATTCCCGATCTTGATAATCTTTTATGCATTTCCACAAAAATCTTCGAGACTCTGGATCCACCCCTGTTGTCGGTTCATCTAACAAAACAAGCGAAGGGCTGCCGATCAAAACGTATTGGAACAAAATCAATAAATAACTTAAAAATTGTTTTATTTACCATGGCTATAGCTGCATTTAATTTCGCTTCTGTTCCACCCGAATAACGAAAACTTTAACGATCTTTATATTTTTGAAGATCTAATTTCTCTAGCCAATATAAACTTCATAATTGCTTTGGCGGAATCTGAAATCCCGCAATTTTGCAATATAGAATAATGTTTGATATGCAGTCATAAAATTCATTTAGACAAATCGGTTTGGACAATACCAAAAACGGCATCGATAATTCAGACTCATTTCCATAACATCAATACCATCACATTTAATTGGTCCACCAGTAATAGGAAAGTTGCAGCAACATTTGGAAAGTAGAGGTTTCTTCCTGACCGTTGACACCAAGTAACAAAAGCATTCCTGCTTTTTACAATAAATTTAGACGCTACAGCGACTTTGTGGTTGTGAACTATATAATCACCAAACCAGCGAGTGGATATTTTTTTCATTTTCTCTGGAAAGAAAACAAATTGTCCTATATTATTATGTAAATTCACGATTTATACCTAATATACATAATATACTCGTAATATAAATATTTAACATACACATCATACAATATTTACCATTCATAATGTCGTAAATGCCGCTTTTCATTCGTCATCAATTCCTTCAATATCAACATTTCGGCGTTATTCACAGTAACCTGCCGCACTACTATAGCAATGTGAAACGCGTTTATTTGCTCACATTTATATTTGTTCTCTAAAACCTTACAAATATCACCTATAATTTAAAATTTATATACAAAATAAAAGCATATATTCTAATGTACTTACCATTACGATAACTGCCAATCACAATAGCTTCAAGAAAGAATTATTGACATCACTACTTTCGTAATCCTGTGTAGGTTACAGCTACATCTCTTCTCTTCTTT